AAAGCAAATTTCCAGTTTCAAGCATAACCTTTATAACTAAGGATGTTTCTTGGCTCCACTCAGTTCCCAGAGGCAGTCTTAAAACATAAAATACATACTGTCTGCAGTTCAATGTTTTCTTTTGAAAGTGTACTCCTTTTCCCTCCCAAAAGTCAGAGTTAAACTAAAGTAAACTAAAGTAGTCTCAATAAATTATAAGGAAATAGCAGGAAGTCAATTCACCAATTTTATTTTTGGTAAATACTAGAGGCCCTTCCTCCTAACATCATATCTGGCCTTTTGATCTCATTGATCTTTTATTAGTATAATTAATCCTATCCCAATCTACAGTTAGAGAAATTGAAATATTGAAATATCTAAGAAGATCACATAATTCTTTGCTTGGCCTGTTGCATTGTTGATGGTTTTACTAAATGATTGACTAGAGACAGATAGTGTGAACCACTTTCCCTATGTGTACTGTACATAAATCTCAATATAATTTTATACTTTTACATAATAGTTCAGTAATGTAGTGCAGAATTAAGTAAATATATTTTTGAGTCACCAAAGGGACTTATACTTTCTTTTGTCTGTCCTTGATAAAACATCTGTAGGATGTAGGATGATTTTTCTCATCTTCAATCCAATTAACCTTGAGAAGTAGATACTCCTTAACTTTGAGATGGTCTCATCACCACCTGGTATAAACAAAGACTCCTTAGCCTTTACAGTCTCATTCTTGGCAGAAGAGCAAAGCATTCCAAGATAAGATAGACTTATCCTCCTTGTCCTTGGTGAAATCCAGTGAGATAAGACCATTGAAAAGCAGATGTGCTTAATTATGGTTCAGAGACTATATAAGTTAGTCAAAATTCTCAGGGTATAAAACTTTGATACAGACCTACCTTGGAGGGTGCTACATGTTTGCTGGTTTTGAAGAAGTTGATGCTTTGTCATCTTTCTGGGGTTCCCTGACTGGTAGAAGGGATGTAAGGTCTTTTTTTTTATTGTATTCTTGTATTTGAATGTTTTAATTGCTGTCTTGGGTTATGTATATTCTTCAGTATTCCCAAATATTCTTTGATTGCTGTCTCACATAAAGTTATTTTCTTACTACCTTGGAGTAAAGTTTTAAGTACTCATATTGTGTCATCACTGCATCGAAATCCAATGACAATCTTGTTGAGCTGGAAACAGAGCAATAGACCATTACAAACCAGGTCCTTTGTTCTACAACCAGGTAATTCAATTATTTTGCTTTTCCATCTTCACTTACTCTAGGCTCTTCCACCAATCTGTGCAAAGGACCTTGACACTTCTACAACACTTTTTACATTCTGCTGAGTTTTATTCATCCTGCTCCTTTTGTGTTGGTTTTTCTGTACACTAAAAGTTGCAGCTTGTATCTTTTTTACTTCTTTCTGATTACTATATAATTTCAGTGACTTTGTACACTCCATATGCTATTTGTTTTATAATTAAAATAAGTTATTTTGAGAGTGCCCACAACATGTTCCTAAGATTCCAAATGTGCCCACCTGCCCAAAAAGTTTGGGAGCCCTGGCTGATTAAAGTAGTGACTGGTGTAGGAAGTTTTGTTAATGAAATATCATTGAATGGATTAATGATATTGTAAAGAATAAACTTATTGCTCCTTAATAGGTATTTTTATGAATATTTAAAAGTTTATAAAGATTTTTAATTAATTTCTTCAGGTTGAAATCTTTTAGTTTCTGTACCTCCAATTCTAGCAAGAAAAACTTGACATCAAGAGCCTCTTAAACACTTACCACCCTGAGGCTGGCTAATTTCTGAAGTCAAGTTAATATTTGACAGTCAAAAGGAGATTCATTTCAAAAGCTCCCAAACTCCCAATTTCCTCAAATCAGTGGAAATTTATACTATTTCTAGAATTTCTTGCTTAAAGGTTAGCCTAGAGTAGGGGTGTCAAACTAAAGGCCTGGGGGCTGGATCCGGCCCACGGGTGCTTAGATCTGGCCTGCAGGGCTGCCCTGCAAATAGCAAAGGACCAGCTCACAGTGTCTCTGCCAACAAAAATAGAGCTTGGGAGGGCCATGGGCTGCCCTCCTGTGCTCCATTTTCACTGGCAGAGGGTTGCAAGAGGCTGTCACTGATGAAAATTAAGCTCGGGAACCCCTTTTCGCTGGCAAAGCGCTTGGGCCACTTCAGGCACCCCAACACAAGTAATGTCAAATTGGCCATACCCACCTCATCCATGCCCACTCTTCCCCCCCCAAGGTCAAACACATCTCTGATGCGGCCCTCAATGAAATTGAGTTTGACACCCCTGGCCTAGAGGAATATAATATTCCCTCCATCATCCAAAGTTTAGTGTGATTTCTATAGCAATTTTT